CAAATACTTGTTACAAGCTGTTTAGGGACCACTATAAAAGTTAAATGGAGATGATACAGTGCTCAAAAAGCACCACTCCAAATCAACAGGTACCTGAAGGGGACCAGACACTGTCGAGTCACTGTTAATGGCCGTTCAAGGTGTCAAATCCTCAGTAAATGAAGGTAATTCAAGAGACAAATCCCCTCTTTAGGTAGAGGTGTGAACGATGGAGACAGGCTAGTACATCAAAGATTGAAATATCTTCCACTGCCAAAGCAGGAAAACCCATTTTGTTGATGCATGGCACATCAAGTAAGAAACAAGATGAGATAAAGGCCTGTAGGCGCAGCTAGTTTTGTAGGGAACTGAAATCATGATAAAAGTGCAGATCTCCAGAGCATAAAGATGTATGCATGTGCAAGACTGTGATTCAAATTTTGTTTCATGTTTTCATTTTCATTGGTTATTTTTGCATGCAAAGCCATTTCTTTCTGACATGTAGCAATCCTCTTCTCACAAGAGGCCTATTTAGAGTCTTTATTTTTATCCCACTCAGAGGACATACATGACATCCTTAGGCCTGGGATATGTGCCTAGAAAGTGTTTGACAAGCCCTCTAAGAAAGTAAAAACATCCATTGTTGAGCAAGAGGGGAGAGAGACACTGACTAATGAGAAAGAAAGAGTCTGAAAAATAAACAAATTAAAGATAAACAGAGAAAAAGACATGAAAGATGGCCAGTATGATATGAACAAGTACGCTTGTTATGAATATATATATGAAGATATGAAGCTAAAGTGTGAGATAAAAAGTCATAAACAATAAGAAAAAAAAGTCACACTGTGATATGCAAAGATGCACTGTGACAAAAAGTCAAAAGAAGAAGAAACAAAGTCACTTTGCGTGAAAAGTCACATCATGAGTTATAAAGTTGTGCAGCTTGTTATGAATATATATATGAAGATATGAAGCTAAAGTGTGAGATAAAAAGTCATAAACAATAAGAAAAAAAAGTCACACTGTGATATGCAAAGATGCACTGTGACAAAAAGTCAAAAGAAGAAGAAACAAAGTCACTTTGCGTGAAAAGTCACATCATGAGTTATAAAGTTGCAATTATGAGAAATAAAGTCACCATGCACAATTAGGAGAAACAAAGTTGCATTGCAAGTAATAAAGTCGCCTTGCGTGACAAAGTCACATTGTGAGACATAAAGTCACAACTACAAAAAACAAAGTTACCTTGAGAGATATAGTCACATTGTGAGATATAAAGTTGCAATTACAAGAAACAAAGTTGCCTTAAGAGATATAAAGTTGCACTGTGAAAAAATCACATCGCTAGATAAAAGGTTGCAATGCAAGGTGTAATAGGGAGATATAAAGTCACATTGTGAGATATAAAAAAGTTGCAATTACGAGAAATAAAATCACTTGTGCTGCAAGATATAAAGATGCAATTACATTTTTTAAATATTGTGAGGTGGAAACGGTCTACTACAATTTGGCTTCACAGAGGATGACATGCGGACTCGAAAAATGGCAAATGTAGTAATCAGAACCGAGCACAACCACCTCATTAACAAGCCTCTGCCATCAAGGAAGGCACGGCAACTCAAAATGACACCAATCGAGAGGCCACAGTGCGTTTATGTGACGAAAGATCACTTAAATTAACCTTGACACAGTCAAAACAGCCTCTTAAATAAAAACAAGAAACAGACTGTACACAGACAGTCCAGTGACAGGGCAACCAGCAGTGATGATTATGCAGAAAACGGTCAAATGAGTGCAGGCCAGGGCTCCTCTGGGATTGGACGGCAGCGCATTCAGTCATGCAGATACACGCTGAGGTATCCACTATCCAGCAGGAAATGTGTGTTTTGAACAATGGAAGTGAGGAAACAGGGTCAAAAATACATATCAGGAAAACCATCTCTCGCTCTTTCCATCTTCAAGTGGTTTGAATTACAAATGAGCATTCTCATCTTCTCACAGGAGGTGCAACCAAATCTAATCTTTAGAAACTAGGCCACCAGAGAATACAGGTGCTATGGGGTGGATCGAGTGGGCTTCTCAAAACACTCGACATTGATCAAACAAGAACAGTACAATCTTCAACAAAGGTTATGTTGTACATGGATCTCACATTAAGCATCTCACAATGCTACACACAGTGCGAGTTCACATGGCTTATCTGAGCAACCCGGGGAGCTGATACAATCCAAGCCCTCATGACACTGGACACACACAGTGGTAAATTAATCAAGCTCCAACTGTTTAATCATGATGAACTTTATCTGGGAAACCAGACCAATCTCACAGCGAAAAGTTGAATCCGCGGACAGAGAAAATCTCCGTACAAACATTACAAACCAGATTTTTAGATATTCCTGAGTGGTGCTGCTATGATGTTAAGAATAATTATTTTTAGAGGAAATAAGATTAAATAAAATAAAATAAAAAATAAATATTAGATGAACAAATACAAGTAACAGTAATGGTTGCTTGAACAACTAAAATACTGTGCATAATTTCCTTCTGTTTTTACATTTATAATAATTATGCCATCATCTAATATTCAAAGCATTAAAACCTAGGCCTAATCTTTAAAAACACTAATAACACTGTTAAATGTAACCTTTTAGAAAATCTCAAAAAGTATAATGTACATTATTATGTTGCTATGATGCCTTAATTCACTTGTTGCATTTAAAACACTTTATTTTAGTTTTAAGTGCTTTTTTTTAATTCACACAAAATAGTACAGAATTTGAGTTTTGGCCATTAACCAGTTATTGACTGATTGTATTAAGTATTATCGTATTAGCCACAACTTCAATAATTATTCAGATAATTATTTAGCAGCTGTGGATAGAGTTTAACTTCCAGGGCGGACATTCCTTTAATTACACAGGCTTATTTTATTGATTTTTACAAGCAGAACTAAACGTCTCTCTTAAAATCTCTGTTGAAAGCAAAAATTGCTCCCACACGGCCTGCTCTGCACTCTCTCAGTTTAAAGCAACACATCTAATCCACGGGAGCATCACGCACATGCAGCTGAGCTTAGCTCTTCGTACAGTTCACCAGCAGTCTGATAAACTGTGCCAGGCCTTAAAAAGGTAGAGCAACTAGCACATCTGTTAAAACAAGGCCAGACAAAGATTGGAAAAAAACAGGGCACACAGAGCACACAGACTGGCTGCTGGGATTACAAGTAGTAGTTGTTTTTGGAAGCCGTGTTTTCTCTGACAATAACACTTATGCTCTTGGCAAAAGCTTTTGTGCTTTCAAATCAGGTTACAAGAAATGTGCATATCGCATATGAGACAATTAGTTCAAACACAACGCTCATGGAGTCAAAAACACCACAGCACACAAACTACATAATATTAGATACAAGCCAAGCAGATCAAGGCATCTGAGAGTCATCTGTTGATACCAATCACAGTATGAGTGATTGAAATAAAAATGATAGTGACAGCCACGTGAGCTGGCCAGCACGGGTGGCACTTTGAGCTGCAGTACATTGAGCTATCTTTTAAACCCTTTCAAGTTCAATAACCTTTAAGATGCATGTTTGTGATAAGACCAATATGATAATGTCAATCAATCAAATCAACCAACCAACCATCATCTCTCAAAAAACACAAGTTTAAATTTAAGTTTAAAGACTTAAATAGTGTGTGTGTGTGTGTGTGTGTGTAAAGATATATATGTGTGTGTGCGTGTAATATGAAAATATATATAATAAATCATTTATATAAGAAAAAACATAATAATAATCGCTTTTTCTTCTCATTTTTTGAGTCCTCAAAACTGTCTGATTTAGCTCTCTCCCCTCAGTGATCTCTCTATCCATCCATGTAAAGCACTATTAGATGCTCCCACAGGATGCCAGCAAGACAATTAAGCCAATAAAAACAGATATCAACAGATACCAGGCCAGGATTTGACACCACTATGAAATATCCAAAATTATGCAGACAATCAATATATGAGGATGATGATGATGATTGTTTTTATTGATTCTTTGAGGTTCAATGCTGACTCCATCTTTAAACACAGAATTGATCTGATCCCTCCTTTAACAGATACAGCGGGTTTCAAGGAACATTGGGTGATTGGGAACATAATTAATTTCACATTCTTTTCTTAATTTAGTTAATCAGGTATTAAATTGACTTATCTATAATCATTCAATATCATCTACTGTACATCTATCTATCTCTACATAAATCTATACCTAATTAAATATTATGATATATATGTGCTGTTTAATAAGTTTACACAGGCTGTTTACATTTTTTTCATAATTGAAAAAGTAATTGTGCTAATATTTTCTGTTAGAACCATCAAATGTCAGCTCCGTCACACAAAATGTAAATATTTGGGATTTTAGATACTTTTCCTCATCTTATAGCAGCAAGCAACATCAGAAAAACAAAATGGCTACTGCATTTAATAAATGTGTGAGAAGTAAAAATATGGTTATTTTTTTCAGCAAGACCTGTCTGACTTAATGTGGTGAAAATTCAATATGAAACCACCTTGTGGTCTCAGTACATTGAATTATATTTGTCAGTTATGAAGAACGTGGCACATTATTTTTGTATTGTTTGATGAATTGAGTGGTATGCTAGGAAAAACACAAATTTTATAAGAAAACTGAAGATTGAACACAAACACAGGTGAAAACCTCTGAACATATTAAACCTATTAATCCAATACAATTCTCTGATATAAATACAAGATTCTGTAGCATGTTCCGTCTCATCATGTCTCAAAAATCAGTGCAATTATCTAATTTCCGAGAGTATCTTGTCAAGTATCTCGTATCAAATTCGAGTCTGCTGCTCCCAAACAAGCATATTAACACAGCAAATGTATTTGAATGCCCTAATATCAGGATAATGTGATTCAAGCAGCCTAGCTCATAAGAAATCAGTGCACGCTAGTGCTGAAGTACGTTTACAGTCAAGCTACAATGTCTAATACACATTACTCAGTCTTACCTGCCAAAGCATCGGGCTCTAGACCCGTTTCGTTGTCTATTCCGCATATAACGAAGTAATGTGCGAAGCGACAGGGCGAAGACCCAGAGCCGCTCATAGTCGCGCTCATCTCGGCTCGAGCTGATCCGCTTTGTCCGCGTCTGTTATACAGACCCAACCAGCTCCATATCCAGCGTCCTCGTGCAAATGAAATAAAGAAAAGCGCCGTTTTAATGAAAGCTGATTGCTAAGAATTCGTGCAGTGAGCTTCGGAGAGCAGTCTATGTAGAAATGATTAGATTTGAAGAACGTTCGCTGTGGCTGTGAGTTGTAGCTGTTTTCAGGAGCGCACTGACGCACCGCTTCAGCTGATCACACTCAGCCAATCGAGACCTCGCAAATGTTTCGCCACAACTATTTGTTTGAGAAGGAGCGTGCAATGATGTAAGCCGTGTCTTTTAAATGTTGTGATGATAAATAAGCAAATTTTTTCATAGATCAAATACGATTTTACAAATATTATTGCATCAGATCGTCTATGAAAAATATTTAGACTATCAGCTACTTTGTTTCCAGTCCATGTCTGATTTGTTTCACAATAATTACAACAAATATGTAAAACAGTTTGTTCATGTTCACGATGGTGAGATAAAAGCAAGTTTTCATTAAACTAAATGCCACATTATATACTACTACTGCTTATAATAATAATGTAGCTGTTATTGATTATTTTATTATGATTTTTGCTGTGATATCACGCTTTGAATATCCTTGCTCATTTGATATAAATCTGCTATGTAATATAAAAATATTCACAAAAATATTCACGATGTAATGTTATCGTCCAAGCAGCATATTACAATATCGCCCTCTGTTGGTTCATCCGATGTATTGCTAGTGCATCTGTATAGCGTGGGGGGACTGTGACGTCACTTTGTATGCGGATCGGCTGTTAGCATCGCACTGGTTCCCTCGACAAAAAGCCTATAGGATTTTTCCATAGGCTTTTGGATTATCGCAAAAAATAAGCTCTGTGTTCAACCATAGTTCATGAAATTTACACGTTTTGTCCATCAAGATAATCTTCACAAAATAATATAAATTTGATGAATTTTTGAAGCCTAAATAAAAGCGCCAGAACTTAAAAGCTAAACTTAGGCTATAAACAAACTACAGCACCACGGTCGCTGGCCTTCAGCGTCACCATCACCTGCTCCCGACAACTTTTTCAAACTTATTTTTAACACGTTCAGTGAAAAGGATTTACTCTGTATATTAATTTTAACCCACGCTACATGAACCTTTTCATATAAACTGGAATAAATACAAAAATAGAGCCAAACTAAAACTGAGACGTTAATAGTAAATAGTATAGTACAGGTGCATCTCAATAAATTAGAATGTCGTGGAAAAGTTCATTTATTTCAGTAATTCAACTCAAATTGTGAAACTTGTGTATTAAATAAATTCAATGCACACAGACTGAAGTAGTTTAAGTCTTTGGTTCTTTTAATTGTGATGATTTTGGCTCACATTTAACAAAAACCCACCAACTCACTATCTCAACAAATTAGAATACTCCATAAGACCAATAAAAAAAAACATTTTTAATGAATTGTTGGCCTTCTGGAAAGTACATCCATTTACTGTACATGTACTCAATACATGGTAGGGGCTCCTTTTGCTTTAATTACCGCCTCAATTCGGCGTGGCATGGAGGGGATCAGTTTGTGGCACTGCTGAGGTGGTATGGAAGCCCAGGTTTCTTTGACAATGGCCTTCAGCTCATCTGCATTTTTTGGTCTCTTGTTTCTCATTTTCCTCTTGACAATACCCCATAGATTCTCTATGGGGTTCAGGTCTGGTGAGTTTGCTGGCCAGTCAAGCACACCAACACCATGGTCATTTAACCAACTTTTGGTGCATTTGGCATCAGAGGTGGACAGTAACTAAGTACATTTACTTGTGTATTGTACTTAAGTACACTTTTTGAGTATCTGTACTTTACTTGAGTATTATTTTTTCTGGGAACTTATGACTTTAACTTCACTACATTTGAAAGACAAATATTGTACTTTTCACTCCTCTACATTTCTATCAAGGTCCTCGAAGTAGAAAGTCGTTACTATGTGGCAGCTTTGAAAGTCAGAAGGTGATTTTTTTCTTCTCTAAAATGTGACTTTCTTTTTTTTCAGACAGTTTATCAGTAATCACTCTTGTAGGGCTACATGAAGTGATTTCCAGCATTTTTTGAGCACTGACCAGTTGCAAATGTGATATTTATTTACAGCAATTCAATAATAAGAAGTTAATATTTTGGTATATATTAGACACAATATTGTCTGATTTTGCTAAATTGTGTATGTGAAAATATTAGCTATAAAGCCACAGAAGAACTGTTGTGCGTCAATAGGTGTTGGACTTGAAGCAGCACTGCACAGACTGTTCTGTGTGTGACATCAAAGTACAGCGAGAGCGATTAGACAGCATTTTTTAAATTTTTGTTTTGATGTCAAATAAGTCTTGCTGTTTTGCTTTTTTTGTTAAAGCAGTGTTGCTGTTGTAAAGTTATACAGCTACAGTTGTGTTGCTGGGTTTTAAAGCAGGTTTGATTTTTTTTTTCTTCCTTATCACTCTGTATTTACAGGATTTCACTGTCCACTCTGTTCAAATGTGGATGAATGGTTACACATAGATGTGTGCACACACTGTCACTACAGATCACTACCATCCTGCTTTTGTAGGGGTGGGTAGGGGTGTTAAATTATTTTTTTGTTTTGTTTTGTTTTTTTCCCCTTAGGTTTTTAACATTCTAAAAGCTCTTTATTCCAAAGATACTACAAGCTAGTCAGTGTATTCAGTAGGTGTAATGTATTCTAAGTTGCTTCAGAAGTATTGCAAGTACTACGTACAACAATAAAACAGTGCATTGACATAAAAAAGGAAATTTACTTTTGGTACTTAAGTACTTTTAAAAGCAAGTGCTTCTGTACTTTGACTTAAGTAAAAATCTGTCTTTACAACTTTTAATGGAGTAATATTTGACCAGCAGTATCTGTACTTTCACTCAAGTAATGGAGTTCAGTACTTTGTCCGCCTCTGCCTTCTGGTACGAACCTAGAGTCTCTGCATCAGCGGGAAAGCGATAAAACTTCCGTTTTCCATCCGAAGACTTGTGTTGCATTTCGGGGCAAAAAAAAAAAACCTTGTCGAATAACAATATAAAATGCGGGAAACTATTAATTGGTTATTCTACAATCAATTAATTGTATTACAAATTATACTACGACTGGACATTTAGCAACTTAGCAACCGTCTTTTTAAAGAAACATAACAGTTTTTAAAAATCACGAGTGGGGTGTAACTGGTGTGTTTTATGTCGTATATTAAAACGTGAAAGTATCTTGAGCTTGTGTGGACCATGGACCTTATTTTAGGGGATTTAACCAAACTCCCATTCAAAAAAACCATTGACTGTGGGACGATGGAACCGGAAGTGCTAAAATGCTAACTCGCTTTCGGGTTTTTGCCTACAAATTGACATCATAGTTCCACCACTCTATTTGTGTGTTAAATGATCCATTATAAAAATAATCTATTGGGCATCACTCAGTGTTTTCCAGTGGGCTAAAATGAATTAAAATGATAATAAATGAAATAAAATTCAAACACGATATATAAACGCTATCACTGACACAATAAATAAAAAAGCACAAATATAAATAAATAAATAAAGTGATGAAATAAATACAATTTTAAGTGATGAATGTTCTTCAGGGATCCCTCTCTTTTCAATCAATGAATGTACATGGCTTTTCCAGTCATTCATGATTTACTGGTTAAGAATTAAAGATAAGGATTAGGCCTATATACATACATGCATACATACATATACATACATACATACATACATACATACATACATATATATATATATATATATTAAAACCACATTTTGTTGCTTTGCAGCCTGAAATGAAGACACAGTTTTTGTTTTATCCAGCTGTATTGCAACATATAACATCCAAGTGAAAGGTATAACACCAACATGTCAGAAAAAAATTTATAAATAAAAAACAGAATCTTTTCTATATCCACTGTATATATAAAGATAAGGATTTATGGTAACACTTTGGATAAAAGCGTCTGCTAAATGACTAAAAGTAAAAAAGTAAAAGTATATATATCCTTATCTTTAATTATCTTTAATTAATCCTGATCTTTAATAGGTCTATTATTAATCGGTAGAAACCCGCTAAAATATTTTAGAGCTTGGCATGACTAGAAAAATTCATATTGTTTATAAAAATGCCCATGGAATTTTAAAATTTGATTATGTTTAAATTTTAGAGGAAATGAATTAAAATATGATATTTTTAGCTGTTGTAGCTTATGCGAAGCAGGCATAGCAATATTCAGTACAACAACACATTTGGTTGTTATTAAACCTATAACAGTGGATAATAAATACCGTATCAATAAAACTGTGGTAACAATAACTGCTGTATGTTGGCAGAAATTGTTAACATGGTAGTATTTCAATGTATGTTGTGGGAGGGGCGTCGTGGTCCTGGGACTTTGCGCTACAATGAAGAATGCCACACTTCACTGCCAAGAGCCAACCATTCCCCAGCATTGGGTCAGTCCAATCCGCAGTGAAAGTTCGTCCACCTTCACGAGCGCAGGTGCTCAGCTGGTGAATATGTAGAAACCAACACGATCTGTGTGATGTGACGCATGTTTAAACCACACCCTGAACACAAAGAACAACCACAGCGCTTCTACACGCCCAACAGAGACTCGAGCACCTGACCCTTCAGCCACACAAGTCCCGATGGCAGAGGAGGCAGACTTTATGCGGTCTGTGTTGCCCGTTCACGGCGCTTTTCACTCGGTAGATTCATCTTTAGCGTTACCGCAGGCGGACAAGCTCGCTCTCGCGGACGCACACCGGCTGAACCGACTACAGCAACAAGTGCAGCTCACTCTCTCTCGGAAAAGAAAGAAACCAAAACCGCCAGGTATGTGGAATGAAACTGCATAGAATAAAAGCAAATATGTAAAAAATGATTAGTGTTTTGGTTTGGGATAGAGTACAGGTGTAGGCTATAGGCTACATGTTTATATTTCTTGAAAAAATGCAGGATGCCAGTCAATTGTTTTATGGTCAGCTTTCAATGGTCCTTTGTTCTTAACTCCTGTCCTTTGGTTATTTTATTTTACATTTTATTTGTGTATAAAATAACATGCAAAAGCATATGTATTTATTCCTCCATTTTTAAAATATATATTATTTACAAAAATACTGTGGTTCTACCATAGTATCAGTGTGATATCAAAGTGACTTTGATGTATATCACGGTACTGAATTATTAT